CGAACTATTGTTACCACGGACACTGACGCGAACTATTGTTTACCATCGACACAGAGGCGAACTATTGTTACCATCGACACAGAGGCAAATTACTCGTAACTCTGACATTGTTGCAAACTTCAATGTATGTATTTCTTCCAATACCCGCACTGACATTGTCAAATGTTAACTCTAAGTATTGGGGCCAACAAATTTTAACTGAATACTCCAGAGAGCAAATGAAACAACTTGTTCCATGGAGCCTAATAACCACTCATTTACTGATAAGTTCAAAAAGAAATGGATGTGGACCTTTTGTACTTACCATGTTCACAAGATGACCCTTATCGTCTGGTAACAGGGGGCATCATTTTAATAACAATAGTTAATCATTGTAGTCAGATGAGACATGGTAAAGCACTGAAGACCTCGAGTTCTATTGATAATGACATTAGATTGGAAACTTGAGAATGTCAGATTTACTATCTTAGAACATTGTTATATTAAATGTAAATCACACAAAGCTTGTTATCAACTGCATACAGCTGTTTGTTTGTTTGTTTGTTTGTTTGTTTAGGTTTTTATTTCATGATTTGTAGTGATACTAGAGGCCAACAATGTGAAACTTAGAGGGCGATATAGGAAAATTGAAATAGGCCGAAACAAGCGGTTGTAATATATATATATATAGGGGGGAAATAATAAATGGGTATCACTGTACACTATTCTGGGCAACTGTTGGTTGATAAATAGAACGGATAAATAGAAATGAATAATTATTCTCAACTTTGGCCTCATTATAAGAAAACTAGTTGTGCGCTGCTACCAGGGTAGCCGTTTCCTACACTTAACAAGATGACGGCGACCATATCCAATAGTTTCAGTTCGTAAGACTTACCGGTAAGTGTCATACAACCTCTGCGAAGGACTTTCAGAGTAATCGTCGCATGAAAACATATGTCGAGATGAAAAATTTTGGAAAATTAGTTAAAGGTAATTAAATTGCGTTATAGGTACTGAAATCGTAAGGATCTCCACAGCGAATCATTTATTGACATATTTGTTCTTACTTGTTAGTGTGTTTACTGGTTCCACACATACCGAATGTTCATAGTCGTCTTACGAAAGTTGATTGGAAATGTGGTACCTACACTTCATCACTTAATAATGGCTAATAAACGGGTGAACGGACGAACGGACAGTATGTGGACGCAATAGGTGGGGTGCAATCGTTTGCATAGTATCAAAAACTTTGAAAATTCGTCGAATTCTCGGACATTCCGTCGTTTGAAAAGCACATGCGCACTGATTCTGAATTAACGTGGATATGACATCCAACTTTCTATCGATTTTATTGCCTACAGGAAATGAAGTGAATACACTTGAGTGAGGTTGGACAGACGGACAGTTATCAAAACATTACTGAAAAAGATACAGGGGTTGTGAGGCTAAAACGACATGTCAGAATTTAGTTTGAAAATGGCAGCAGTAATAAAATGGGTTTACGTACCTTGTATATGGAAAAAGTACACTATTCTGCAAGTCATTATATCAAATTCTTAACGTTTCAATGCTAATAAACTATTTCAAGTTGTTTCATGTGTCAGTTGTGATTAGGTTAACTGCATCACGTCCACCCATAGACGCTCGAGCCGGTTAATCACAGTAAACACTAAAGTCGACATTTATGTCCCATACAGGCGACCCGAGAATATCAACACTCACTACTAGGACGTGTCTCCTTGGTGGTATCCAAATCCCGTCACTAACGACAAAGGCGATTCTATACTATAAAACCAAAATGTTACACTTACGATATGACTTTCATTATATTTCATATACATCGTGGTTTAGTGAATGCGTGTGAAAACCAGGCAAACATTGACCTCTGAATTTTGACAACTACGACAACAGAATTAGCTTTTTAAAAACATTTTTTTCTCTCGTAATTACACATTTTATTTATCATTCATCTGTTGACACTGTCAGAACACGGTTTTATGAAACACAATATCGAATAGTTAAAATTTATTATTCATGAATAAGTTCTATATATCAACCGTATATATATATATTATTATTATAAAAAAGTTAACTTCATGGAGTCGACGAACCAATATAACGTATAACGTTGAAGTACACTATACGATATGTATGTTTGATAGCGCCATAGTGTAACCCGTACACACTGATGACGTATTTGTGTAAGTACTCTATACAATATGTATGTTTGATAGCGCCATAGTGTAACCCGTACACACTGATGACATATTTGTGTAAGTACACTATACAATATGTATGTTTGATAGCGCCATAGTGTAACCCGTACACACTGATGACGTATTTGTGTAAGCACGCTATACGATATGTATGTTTGATAGCGCCATAGTGTAACCCGTACACACTGATGACGTATTAGTGTAAGTACACTATACGATATGTATGTTTGATAGCGCCATAGTGTAACCCGTATACACTGATGACGTATTTGGGTAAGTACAATATATGATGTGTATGTTTGACAGCGCCATAGTGTAACCCGTACACACTGATGACGTATTTGTGTAAATACGCTATACGAGATGTATGTTTGATAGCGCCATAGTGTAACCCGTACACACTGATGAAGTATTTGTGTAAGTACGCTATACGATGTGTATGTTTGATAGCGCCATAGTGTAACCCGTACACACTGATGACGTATTTGTGTAAGTACGCTATACGATGTGTATGTTTGATAGCGCAATAGTGTAACCCGTACACACTGATGACGTATTTGTGTAAGTACAATATACGATGTGTATGTTTGATAGCGCCATAGTGTAACCCGTACACACTGATGACGTATTTGTGTAAGTACACTATACGATAGGTATGTTTGATAGCGCCATAGTGTAACCCGTACACACTGATGACGTATTAGTGTAAGTACACTATACGATATGTATGTTTGATAGCGCCATAGTGTAACCCGTATACACTGATGACGTATTTGTGTAAGTACGCTATACGATATGTATGTTTGATAGCGCCATAGTGTAACCCGTACACACTGATGACGTATTTGGGTAAGTACAATATATGATGTGTATGTTTGACAGCGCCATAGTGTAACCCATACACACTGATGACGTATTTGTGTAAGGACGCTATACGAGATGTATGTTTGATAGCGCCATAGTGTAACCCGTACACACTGATGAAGTATTTGTGTAAGAACGCTATACGATATGTATGTTTGATAGCGCCATAGTGTAACCCGTACACACTGATGACGTATTTGTGTAAGTACGCTATACGATGTGTATGTTTGATAGCGCCATAGTGTAACCCGTACACACTGATGACGTATTAGTGTAAGTACAATATACGATGTGTATGTTTGATAGCGCCATAGTGTAACCCGTACACACTGATGACGTATTTGTGTAAGTACACTATACGATAGGTATGTTTGATAGCGCCATAGTGTAACCCGTACACACTGATGACGTATTTGTGTAAGTACACTATACGATAGGTATGTTTGATAGCGCCATAGTGTAACCCGTACACACTGATGACGTATTTGTGTAAGTACGCTATACAATATGTATGTTTGACAGCGCCATAGTGTAACCCGTACACACTGATGACGTATTTGTGTAAGTACACTATGCGATATGTATGTTTGACAGCGCTATAGTGTAACCCGTACACACTGATGACGTATTTGTGTAAGTACACTATACGATATGCATGTTTGACAGCGCCATAGTGTAACCCGTACACACTGATGACGTATTTGTGTAAGTACACTATGCGATATGTATGTTTGATAGCGCCATAGTGTAACCCGTTCACACTGATGACGTATTTGTGTAAATACACTATACAATATGTATGTTTGTGGCGCTACAGTGTAACCCGTACACACTGATGACGTATTTGTGTAAGTACACTATACGATATGCATGTTTGACAGCGCCATAGTGTAACCCGTACACACTGATGACGTATTTGTGTAAGTACGCTATACAATATGTATGTTTGACAGCGCCATAGTGTAACCCGTACACACTGATGACGTATTTGTGTAAGTACACTATGCGATATGTATGTTTGACAGCGCTATAGTGTAACCCGTACACACTGATGACGTATTTGTGTAAGTACACTATACGATATGCATGTTTGACAGCGCCATAGTGTAACCCGTACACACTGATGACGTATTTGTGTAAGTACACTATGCGATATGTATGTTTGATAGCGCCATAGTGTAACCCGTTCACACTGATGACGTATTTGTGTAAATACACTATACAATATGTATGTTTGTGGCGCTACAGTGTAACCCGTACACATTGATGACGTATTTGTGTAAATGCCATCTACCTCGGTGCTGTTTATATTACCACCTTCTGAGATCCTAATGACCTATTATGCCAATTGTTTCATCAACATTCAGTTAAAAACATATTAATTGTTTGTTTAGCATTTCAGTGACTTCAACTCTTGCTGCGTCTGGCATGAACACGTGGTACTTTCATCATGTTTTCATTGTTTTACATAAAACAATGATCGACAAAATCAGTCTCATCATTTCCATAGAAATTAATGTACCTGGTACTTGGACAACCTAGATCGACTTTTAATTATCTTGATACATAAACTCCTTGATTTCTACAGGCACCAACTCATCATTGTCTTTATTGGTTTCTTGCGCCAAAAATGTTACCGTTATACTGGAAAATGTCCTAGCGATAAATGTACGGAATTCCAATTTTGTGTCATCGACCACTTCGTATTTCATTCTATCATTCGAAAAACACACCCAAAAGACACTTCCATCCTTTAGTATAACCAATAATATAATTTTTGATACGTGAATAAACTATCAACATCAAAATACGAAACGGCGGTGACGTCATTATTTCAACTTGTCTTTGACGTCATGGTGATCACGTGACGTCACAATAGCGTTTGAACGACAACTTCAGCAAGATTTCTACTGTCGTCTGACTATTATTAGAAGGAACATGGTCAGGATTGTGATCGTCCTGTCTATTATAGCCCTCCTGTCATTGCCAGGTTTTGCACTTCCTTTCAATAAGCCTAGTGATGATGATGTTATCAAGAGTGTAAATGAGCAGATAAAACAGAAATTAGATCAGATTCTATCTTCGGATTCCGATGACGAAGTCGAGGAGGATAGAAAAAAGAGAGAGTCGTCTTTAACAAGCAGTCCAAACTTAGAAACGAGTAAAGGTATGTATTAAAAGGAAGTACCACTGAACAGGATTCGCGACTTTCCGTCGTGTCATGCCAGTACTGTTAACTACGAGATACCATAAATGTAAAAGTCTGTATGGTTCGATACCGTCCTACAATAAACAGAATTCTATATTTGACCCATGACTGTTCAGGAACACCTCTTTAGATAAAGTCGTGGATGGAGGAATTTATCTTGTGTGAATTTTACCAGAGAAATAATTTTTTTTCTGGTAAAAGCGTGGTACTTGTTGATTATTATACGACCACTTTTTATCAGCCCGAGAGTCTTAGATGTGTGATATCAAAATGGTTATATACCAGTCTTTTATCGTATTTTTTTTTTCTTTAAAATAAACAAATTGCAAAAATCATGTTTTATTTTCTTTAAATTAAACAAACTACATAAAAAAAACTTTTGAATTATTCCACCCGGGAACTTGAGTGGGATTCGTAATAATTTTTCGTAAGAAAAAAAACCGCAATTCTTCCAGGCAGCCAACAACAGCGATAAACGGTGGTGGCAAAATAAAAAAAACGAGAAGAGGTGAGATATCACTTTCTAGGGGGTGAGATATCACTTTCTAGGGGGTGAGATATCACTTTCTAGGGGGTGAGATATCACTTTCTAGGGGGTGAGATATCACTTTCTAGGGGGTGAGATATCACTTTCTAGGGGGTGAGATATCACTTTCTAGGGGGTGAGATATCACTTTCTAGGGGGTGAGATATCACTTTCTAGGGGGTGAGATATCACTTTCTAGGGGGTGAGATATCACTTTCTAGGGGGTGAGATATCACTTTCTAGGGGGTGAGATATCACTTTCTAGGGGGTGAGATATCACTTTCTAGGGGGTGAGATATCACTTTCTAGGGGGTGAGATATCACTTTCTAGGGGGTGAGATATCACTTTCTAGGGGGTGAGATATCACTTTCTAGGGGGTGAGATATCACTTTCTAGGGGGTGAGATATCACTTTCTAGGGGGTGAGATATCACTTTCTAGGGGGTGAGATATCACTTTCTAGGGGGTGAGATATCACTTTCTAGGGGGTGAGATATCACTTTCTAGGGGGTGAGATATCACTTTCTAGGGGGTGAGATATCACTTTCTAGGGGGTGAGATATCACTTTCTAGGGGGTGAGATATCACTTTCTAGGGGGTGCAATATACCTTCAGGGTGTGTGATATCAGACTTATCACACATACAAAGCGCTGTTATCAGTATTAAACATATGATAAAGATATATACGATATAATCACTACTTATTCCTATTTACATCACATCAATTTTTGGATTATTACAATATAGCACAAATTTAAAAGGTACCATACAGCTAGTAAACAACAATTTGTATCAAGGTGTCCTCAGGTAAAGGTTTTAAATTATTTCGCACCCTTCATAAAACTCAAACTGAAAATTAGTTCAATACACATCACACGTATACAAGGTCATTCTTTAACTTAAATTTGAGTTGTATGGCTGACGAGTGTAGGACCATATCATACACTAGACCATGATGGAAGCTAAATATGATGTTAACCAAATTAGAACACTTTTTGACATAAATTTTAAATATTTTCTGTCATGTATTTTAATCCTGTATATTTCTTAATATTTCGCGAATAGATTAATCCAGCTTTCATTTCACGCTTTGGTAAGATGTCAGCAGCACACGTGTCTATAAGTAGAACCCAGTAATGCATGCCAGGTTTAGCAATGCGTTTCAACATTTAGAGGTACCCAAAATGGAACACTTCTTTTATTCTGTACATTTATAGAAATAACTGACTAGTCTTGAATAGTTTTCTTCATTTCTTGAAAGTTCACTGACTTTTTCATTAATTTCAGTCACTAACCTATCAAAAAACAAAAAAAAAAAAAAAAAAAAAAAAAACAAAAAAAAAAAAAAAACAAAAAAAAAAAACAACAAAAGTGACATTTTCCATTGTGTAAAAACATGATACAATATTTGAGATGTCACATCGCACCATTTCCCCGGATGTATTTTTTTTTTTAATTCTTTAAATATTAATTTATAGATACAATTTATTCTTGTTTTGGATAGTTAATATTCACCTGTATTGTAAATGAAAACTTTTTTATGTCAGATATTTAATAAATGTTTCATTTTGGATAGCGTCGCGTTACTTCAAATCCATTACAAACAGCCAAAGTACCACACACAAAAAATAGAAAAAAGCGATGTATCCAGGTTCGTTACAATTCTCAAATATTTGACACAGACTTTTTATTTTGCAACACAAGTGAACATTTATAATTTCTACACGAAAAAAATAAGAATAAAAAATTCTTAAGATATTTTTTAATCAACTCATGTCTTCTATGTCGCTTGTTATCTCTATTTAAGATTTAAACAATTAAATTATGTAAAAGAAAATCCCGGGAAATGTTGCGATGCTACAACACAAATATTCACGTGTTTTTAAACAATGAAAAAAATGCTGAAATTTATATTTTTGATAGATAAGTGACTGAGATTAATGAGAAAGTGATATTTTATAGTTATTTCTAAAAATGTACTGAATGTAAGAAACGTTATATTTGGGATACCCGTACCTTTTGAAATGCATGACTGAACCAGACATACCTTATTGCGTTCTATTTATAGACATGCACCATGACATGACAAGTAACCAAAACATGAAATAAAACCCGAAGGAATCTTTTTGTGAAATATTAAGAAAAATACAGGATTCAAACAGGATTACCGCAAGGCCATGTGCTAGTAACTTACCTGTTTCTGTTGTATGTTCTTAATGCCAAGTTTTGACCGAGGGAGACGAGCACGTAACATCTACAACCAAATTACTTTAGCGTTAGACAAATTGGGAATATGTATACTGTATTTGTATTGTGAGGAGAAAACTCCGATAGCTTTTGTCATCTATTTTTGGTATACGGCATCGGCACAATTAGTGTTTATAAGAAATATTCTCAAACTGTACATTGTAATCAGCAACCAGATATAAAGAAATAGGACAAAATAGTCTGTATTCGACGGGAGTCTGACGTTGGTCCCCAGTTCCTAGTTCTGTTCAAGAAAAACGGAGCTAGGAAGGTTAAATTGAACTAGGATCTAGTTCCCTGTTCCTTTTTCTTAAACGGAACAAGGAACTAGGGACTGGGAACCAACTTCAGGCTCCCGTATTCCACTATGGGAAGCGCGTAAACAGATTTGTGTTGTGCTTAGCGAGAATTTACATATTGTGTTTTGCCATAAGTAATTTTAAATGGGACGGATGACTTTCTCTTAAATAGACGATTACTCCAACGAGAAAACTAATGATGATGAGGAAGACACCGATGATGACGAAGGAGGAGATATTAAAGAAGAGCGAAGGAAGAGGAGTATATTTGATGAGGTACAGACACTTCACTTATTTCGACCGTTCAGGTGTAGAGGTTACAATACGAGTTGTAAAAGCGAGTACCCTGAAATTCAAACAACACTCAAATCATTACATCAACAATAGTGAAATGCTCACTGCGCCGTGAGTGCGTGAAGCGCCTTTCCAATCATAGTTCATCCTGTCAGCCAACCAAAACATGCCAAACTCAGGAAATACCAACATTCGACAATAGCGACATCCAATGTAGTTGTTTTGTCGCGGCTTATGGACAGCTGACGTGATTACCGAATTGAATACCGACACCTCACATGCTTGTTGTTTCGTGTAAAATTGACACATCATGTGATTGTTAGTTATTTCATGGGATATGGACACCTCGCGTTATAACCCCACCCCCACCCCTCTCATCATCGCTTAAATTTGCCCAAAGGGAACACCAGTTACGGAACAATTCCTTAAATTGAAATTTTCCCCTCAACTTAAGGAAGATTCGTGAAACTGATTTGACATACTGAAAACAGAAAATCCGCACAGATTTATAGGACCATCGCATCCCCTATTATCTTCTGTTAGATTTAAGTCATCAAATTATGCTTGGGTTACAGGAATATGATAAACAAATCAAAACTATTTTTGGTTCATAGGGAAAGGTTGTTTTTGTTTTGGTAAAGAATAATATTCAAAGCCAGAACATTTATCAAGTACACCATGTCTATTGTATAGAAAAATGCACTAACCCAGTTTACATACTAATCTTTCTGTAATGACATATATCTTGAAACCGGATAATCAAAATATATCTGTCCTTAAATATTGCAGATTTCTTCCATCGGAAGTTCGGCCAGTTATCCATCCGCAAAACTCGAAAAAATAAAGAATGAAAGGACTGATGATGAAGAGGAAGAGGGGGAGAATGACATTGATACAGACGACAATGACCGGAGAAAGAGAAATATTGACTCGCAGATTCGGGAAGATGAAAACGATGAAGGTGACATAAGGCAGGAGAGGAGGAAAAGAAACACGGAAACGGAAATAAATTATACGGACGATGACGACGATGATGATTATTTGTTGTTAGAGAGGAGGAAAAAAAGAGATGCAAATTCTGGTTTCAATGATGATGATGATGACCGTGATGATGATGATGATGATGACGATTATGTTGGTGAAGGTGATCTAACATTGGAGAGTTTAAAGAAAAAAGATTCGGAATCTGGAGTAGGAGTTGAAGTTGATAACGGCGAGGAAATTGACGATGAAAAGAAAGTAGAACGAAAAAAAAGAGACGCAGGCTTAATGATCGGTAGTGACGAAAATGAAGACGGAGTCGACTCTGATGATTTGACAACATATCGGAGAAAAAGAGACGCATATTCAGAAATGATAGATGAGGAGGACGAAGACGACAGCGACATTGGATCGACGTTGATAAAAAGGAGTACAGAATCTGTTCAGAAATATGCAGGTAATGTTCATGTAGCACCTGTAGATGAATCGGGCAAGGTTTTAATTACTCGTATAGGACGGGACATAAGTGAAATGAACAAGGATGTCGATAATGTCGACAAAACTCCACCTAGCGGTGAACCTGCCGTTTACATTGTCCGAAAGGAAAGAGATCTCAGCAAATATGGTGATGGAGATGGTAGCGAAATGGGGACAAAAAAGATAGATTTACAAACAGGGCCAGAAAATCTAAGTATTGATGATGAGGACTCAGATGATGACGAAGCAGATGATGATGATGCTAATGATGACGATGACAAACTTTCAGAAAGACGGAAACGTGAGACAGAATTTATCAATTTCGATGACGATGAGGGTCTTGATGAAGATTATGATGATAATGAAGATACCACACCCAGATTAAGGAGAATGGCTTCAGTCAAACCCAACTCTACAGCTCGACCCCCGTCAAATACAACCTCTGTTACCCCATCGTCATCAACCACTGAAAGTCTGCTCCAAACGTTTCTACGTAAGTCGGCAGCTACAAAATTCACTGCATCGTCATCAAATGACGATGCTGACAAGGGCAATGAAACTGATGACGAAGATGAATACGACGACGACAATGATGATGATGACGAAGATGAAAAAAACAATATTTCAAATAAGAACAAAGAATTAGAAAAACAACTTCGATCCCTTGTGAAAAGCGTGAGCAAGCAGAAGCGTGACATAACAGGTAAGTCAGAATATTTTGTTTCTACTATGGAGGGGTTTCCTCATTACTAAACGTGTAAAAGAATGGCACAAACAACGCCTCCTTTATGTTACAATAACAGAAATTCTGACAGTTACCAATATGTTCATCTAAATTTAACGTGAGAATTGATTAGCCTTCAATACTATATGATCTTGTTATGTGACACTGAGTTGACTTCTATGGTTGTGAATTTCATGTTTCTAAAATAACTGTGATGATGTGTATCTGAAGCTTTGTCAGGTTGTGTTGCTGAACCTTTTGTCAGGTTGTGTTGCTGAACCTCTTGTCAGGTTGTCTTGCTGAACCTTTTGTCAGGTTGTGTTATTGAACCTTTTGTCAGGTTGTGTTGCTGAACCTTTTGTCAGGTTGTGTTATTGAACCTTTTGTCAGATTGTGTTGCTGAACCTTTTGTCAGGTTGTGTTGCTGAACCTTTTGTCAGGTTGTGTTGCTGAACCTTTTGTCAGGTTGTGTTGCTGAACCTTTTGTCAGGTTGTGTTGCTGAACCTTTTGTCAGGTTGTGTTGCTGAACCTCTTGTCAGGTTGTCTTGCTGAACCTTTTGTCAGGTTGTGTTATTGAACCTTTTGTCAGGTTGTGTTGCTGAAACTTCGTCAAGTTGTGTTATTGAACCTCTTGTCAGGTTGTGTTGCTGAACCTCTTGTCAGGTGGTGTTACTGAACCTTTTGTCAGGTTGTGTTGCTCAACCTTCGTCAGGTTGAGTTGCTGAACCTTTTGTCAGGTTGTGTTACTGAACCTTTTGTCAATTTGTGTTGCTGAAACTTCGTCAAGTTGTTTTATTGAACCTCTTGTCAGGTTGTGTTGCTGAACCTCTTGTCAGGTGGTGTTACTGAAACTTTTGTCAGGTTGTGTTGCTCAACCTTTGTCAGGCCGCTGAGCACGTTGTCAGGTTGTTTAGCTGAACATTTTGTCAGGTTGAGTTGCCGAAACTTTTGTCAGAATGTGTTGCTGAACCTCTTGTCAGGTGGTGTTACTGAACCTTTTGTCAGGTTGTGTTGCTCAACCTTTGTCAGCCTGCTGAGCACGTTGTCAGGTTGTTTAGCTGAAACTTGTCAGGTTGTGTAGCTGAACCTCTTTTCAAAAAGGTTTGTAGGTTAACAAGTTGAGTTACTGAAAATGCCATTGTGAAGCCGACATAGTTGTCTGGATGAATGGAGGAAAATTTGTCAAATTCATAAAATAGCAGTTTGAAAGTATGAGAATTGGCTAATACATTTCATCAACACATTTCAATTGTGTGGAATGAGGAACCATAAAGACAGATTGAACTATATAAATAAGTTTTATATAGATCTGCTTTCAATGTCAATGTCTTGTATTTCGTCAGACAACACTTCTGGTGTTCTGGACCTCCAGTAGTTGTTGTAACACGGATATATAACCTGCTAACCGTTGTCAGAAATGTTATGTGTGAACAACGTTTACTAGTGGTTGATTAAGAGGAATATTTCTACATTCAGATATAAAGTAACTATGTGACGCCAGGGTCACTTTTACCGCTGACATCAGGTGTTTGACACTATTAATAATGGTCACACTGTTGTCTCTCAGCTGATTCCTTCTATTTGTTAACAGTGTAAAGTTAAGGATGAGGTCGGCGATGTGTATTTGTCTTTTCAGGTTACGCTCCTCGGTATACCGATGCAGATGATGACCTGCAGAAAAACGATTTTCTTTCTGAAAACAAAGTTCCTGAAACAAAAGAAAGCAGTAACCAAACACACACTCGTATACACATCGCCGAACCATCCGACTTTGATCTCCATGATAATTCAAAGGAAACTGCATTGGCCACAGTAGATGTTCACCCTCGTGCTCCAGAAGTTACTCAACACACAAGTAGTAACGGTTTATCATTGGCGTCAACAAAACAGATGGGCGGGGAACCATTCGGTCCCATAGCAACAAAAAGGAGTGTCGAACAGCAGTATTCGGCATTCTTTACTAAGAATGCTAAACGTTAGTATCGTAATCTGAACGGGTTTTTTTTATTACTATCTCGCTTGGTGCATTTTTGCAAACCTGACTAGCTTCATAAAATCTCACTCCAATTTGAAATAACGCGTTTCCCATTTTGATAAAATTTAAAACAACGGTTGACTTGAAACAAAGTGATCATGAAAGGTAAAACACGTATTTTGTTTACGATTGAAAATGGAGAATGAGTATTAATATCATGAATAAAAACAACTTGTTGAAACAGCGCGTTTGTATCGGTAGGTCGTGTGGCATGGGTGGAGCCCAAGATGATGCAGAACTGTTGGGCACAAGAAATGCTTGCCTCACGGTTCGGATACTCGCCCAGTTGTAATGCAGATGGCTCTTTCTCGCCCAAACAATGCTTCTTGGAAAGGTTAGTGTTTTGTGAAGGACGTGGAACAACTTTGGGTGTATGTTTAGGAGTACTATCACCAGCAAGTCGGTGAGGTGGCGGACAGTGTAAACGAGGTGTGATGGTGAAAACGTGCAGAACGTTATTGCTATACGATCAATACAAAATGGTCACTGACATCCGCCGTTTACACGTCACAGACATTGGTAGTGACAAAACCAAAACTATATACCAGTTATTGCTGGTATTATAGATGCAATCTAAATGGACGCCGAAATCCATTTTACTTAAACCACTCTCCTTCTGAAAACTGCCATAATTTTAATGTTTAACGCTGAAAACCATGATAAACCTCGATTATATAGATCAATCTTGTCAACATGTGTATTAACAATGATTTGTTAACAAGCAGGTAGCCCATCAGGAGGAATGTCCGGTATTTTTATAATAAGCACTATCGTCTTTAATCAACTCTTGTCATCGATACGTCGAGACCCCACTGTGTTCCTACAACATCCATCATTCGGTTAGTGTATTACAGTCCGAGTTCTGTCCACTTAGGCCAAAATTTGTGTTTGACCGGAGATTATCACTATCATCACTGACCAGTCGGTCAAATGTCCGCATAGTGAAACAAATCCATTGGTCAACAAAATCAGTAGATTGGCCTAAAACCTGTGGTCAAGGTAATGATTTTCTCCGGCAACTACCGATATAGACCTCATATATCACTGATATAAATGACCGGAAGTTGGTACTAAATCACTTGATCATAAATCCTTACGTATGTCCATATATACTATAGTATATACACTTAACGATAGACGGCAACTTTATAATTTCTCTTGGTCAGCTTTTTTTCGTAAGCCGATAGACTACGGCTGAGAGTATCCAGAATCTTACTACATGTTTGTATATCTCTCTAGCCTGCAGATCACTGCACCCGTGCATTTTCTTTGGTCCCTTATTTGTAATGTTCTCAGTTTTTTATTATTTCATTCAAGTTTGTTTTTACACTGATACGAATCTCGCGCGCGATAAGATTTTAAGTACGTACGATATAATTGCTGACACCAGCCATTTTTACATTATTGTGACCTATTTTCCACGATTCCTTCAAGTCACACTGGAGTCAGGTTGATTCTGCGTTCACTACTTCCCGTAAAGTCTTTGAAGCTACGTTTTAGTTCGATTCTAGTTGTGTGTCTTAAATAATTTGTTAGTGCCCTCACTCATTGTATTTCATGTCATTTATGATGTCAAGTTAAAAGCTTCGTGATGCGATAAGAATTCGTTACTCTTGTTGGTCCAATCTCTGCCGGAGTTGTCGTTCCTTACAGTCACAATATACACGTGATCATGTAGGGTACGGCAATGCACTCTGGGAAATATTATCCCATTAGCTGTATAATGTAGTTTAATTCATTGTTTGGCTTCAAGATTGCATATGATCTACACTATAAAGTTTAGATTTTGACATTTTTTTCGATCACTTTTGACTTTATTCAGTCGCCATCTAGGTTTAACATTTAGTCCCGTAGCATCACTGACGAGTCTTGTAGGAATAAAACAGCTATGTGATGCAATTTCATTCACTGTTTGGCTCTACTATATCTATTCATTTGTGTGTCTTTAGTACAATCGTTTTTACCACCTTTCACATGCCAATGTCGTTTTGAATTCGCTGTTGTACACATAACGCTACCATTCCATGCTGTTACCTGACAAAATGTGTCTTCAATACTAATTCCGACCTTCAAAATGTATTTAAACAACAAAAATGAGCTTAAAAACATACAAAAATAAGATTCCTTAGTGTCCATAATGTTTATGTATCAGTCTTTAAATAACTTCACGTCAACACCACTTCACGCTTCGCGTCGTTTCATTTGAAAAATGATCCGTAAAATACATGTACTATGTGACAGGAAGGCACGAATATAAACGTAAGAACGCATTTCATATTTCTTGTTGATTTCTATTTAAAGTTATGCTTTTATATTTTCATGAATGAAGATGTTTTAAGATAAAAATGCCTCTTTTCACTTAACCTTGTGTTTTGGTATTTGTTGTGTTTGTTCAGGTTGAAATGTCGCGCCGTCAACTATAGCCAATATAACCAACCACGAAATATTCGAAGTCTCGATGTATCGATTTTTTGGTAGTCCCTTGAACTTCGAAACATCGAGGTTTGACTGTAATTACATTTACACAGCACGCCACTGAAATGAAATCAAATGCTATTTTCCTATTACTTGGTAAGACTTCATAACTACTGGCAATAAATCCCTGCGCATACTGTTCAACAGTTTCCAGTATATTCATTAAATGTTTTCGTAACGAAACGCAGATATAAAAAGATGTAGGCCTATTTTGGTATCTTTGTGGAATTAACTAATGCTGTGGAATTCCCGCCAACAATGTAAAAGCTTTTCCGTCAACATGGACTGCGATATAAGAATGATTTTTCCCTGCTTCTGCAAATGAAAATCTGCACGGGCCAACTTAATTGAAACTTAATTGGTCTGCTTCCTCACTAAAGAGGCTTCAGTTATGTCATTTCCGATCTGGAGATATCAAAATTCAAAGTCGATGGTGATGGTGAAGAACGTTGTCTTAAAGGCAACACATTTTTTTTCATACCGATTTTTCATTTCCGAATTGTTAGATCACGACCTTTTAGGAAAATAACTATAAACTCTGTTTGTGTGGTGTAACCTTCGCTATCTCAACAATATCAACGGTCAGTCAGTGTGGTCATGTTATCTCTAATCCATTTGACTCCTTCCGGCCAACAACCACACCCGAGTGAAACATGATGGACAGGTAAACAGCCGTAAATACCCGTAGGATCAGAGGAATAACATGTTACTTTGATCTTGGCGACATATTAGTTGAAGAGACAGTCACCACAATGTCCCTCCTCTCCCCTAATAGAACATGTCACACGTTACGGGGCAGTCAAAATAACCAATAAATTGTTGACAGGCGACGGGTTCAAAACAGGTCGCCCATAACAATTATTCGTGGTTCTCCGTCTACTTCGCGTAAAAATTGTTAGACAATTGTTGCAACCCGGTCTACAGTCAAAACTGATGTCTGGCATGGAACATGCGACTGCTGACCTGTTAAGCATAAAACAAGTTATATAGTTTATCACGTTTGATATATATTTTCATTTTTTCACTTGACTTGCATCTCGTCTTTTTCTCCACAGATGCTGGTGTGTTCACAGAGACGGCAGTCCCCAAGATCCCAATGTAAACACTCGTTTTGTCTTCTCTGTGGCAGCTATTATGATGGAGTGTACACAGAATCCATAAACAGAACTAGTACTTTCTCCTTAGTGGTGACTGATGATGACTTTATAAAGAATCGTGTGTGTAATGAATTAATAGAAAAATCTTATAGTTCTTTGAACGTATGTCTCGGATGGCAATCCCGCTAAAAGTCCCGCTAATTTTTTTATGGCAATCGTACTCGGAATACCCGGCCTATTGGAAGTTCAATAAAAATGTCTAAATTTCATATTTTTGTCGATGAGGATATCAATACTTTATTATAAGTACATGAGATACATAATTTATATCATACTGTAGACTAAGGCTGTATTCCAATAAAACGTTCACTTTCCACTTACTACCAAGGGTAAGATTTAGAAAACACGGTAACGAATTAACATGTCTGATCAGGAAAATTCTAACAAAATTGTGAAAAATACATTAACGAGTTAACGTGTCTGATTGTGAACTGTTCACGTGAAGGTGGGTAATTCATGTTTATGGAGGAAATGTTGGTGTCCTAGATAGACACATTCCAGCTGTGTAAGCGATTAGGTGTTGCGCCAGAGACAAGAAGTGGACAGAGGTGACCGGAGGTGTCGGGCGAACCGTCAAGTGGCCGATACTGGTCATTCAACACAGCAATGTGAACAGATAGTGGCCATCGCAATGACCGGTTCTCCTGCTCGGCAACGCTGTCAACATGAAGATGCTTTCATCACAACCAACGTAATCACAGAAACACCGTGAATGGGGCGATAATTTATTACATATGATTAACAACCTAAAACTTTACTTGATCTAACCAGTCCCTAACTTTTGGGTAATGATGATGAATATGAAGTTGCTACAGCGCTGACAACCGTTGGACATGTACCGGTAATAAACGGTTCTGAAAACCCCTGTCTGTGTGTAACAGAGCATTCTAGTTCTATAGATCAAGACAGAATAGTCTATTTCAAATTAAACCGAATACAGAGTTAACAATTGTTATCTCCCCACCATTCTGTGTTGCACACCAAGTTTATCCAATTGTCAAAGAAAATGTTGAGGGTTTCTTTTAGAAAGATTGTGTTTAAGTAGAATTTTACGAATGACTAGACAATACGATTCCAGATTACAGATTCAAGCGATATAAAAAATTGGTTGTACAAATCAAAAATCAAAAATATTTCTAACACCCAACAAAATCAAAAAGTTACTACACACATTTCGTCCTATTCTTTACTAACCCAGAAACTGATAATGATATGGCGTCAAAACTGAAATTACAAAGGAAACTGCCTTTTAGTCAGCCAATCACTTCTCTGTGATGAAGTCTCATCCGATGATTAACTTTATCAATACCTAAAGTATATTGATCAAGAGGCGTTTTAATCAGAAAATATAATCCTTCGATCGTGTTATCACTGTCTACATCACACAGGTCCCCGAATTTCCGATCATTCAATACTGTCAGTTACAGTAAAGACTGAAATACAGAGCGGCATCACAAATGACGCGTGAAATTTTCAACATTGGTGACCTCTGGTTGTGACGTGATTTCATTACATAAAATGATGAAGCAACTTTTTTGAGAGTGAGGGATTTTTAACAATGGATGCACAAGTGAACTGTCTTTTATTTGAAGGAGAGAGACTTCGTGTAACGAAGTGAAATATCATATTCCTATCTAGACACTTCATTGTAATGTAACCAGTTACACCTTGTACTACACGTGTAATGATATCCGAGAATGGTTGTATACGAGATTAAACAGTCCAAACTACAAGTATTTGAGCAATTTCATAACACACTTCACAAAGCTTCAGAAAATATTACTTTGTAAGCTATGGTATATGCTAGACGCTAACGATTCCATGCCATCGTTACGTCACAGATAGAATCTGGGATGACAGGTGATAACAGTGTGTACATGGATGTAGAAACCTTAGCGTTACGTCACGCCGATAACTCGATAGCTACCCGTTCCCACGCCGTTTAGAAACAGGCAACGATTGCGATACAGAGAGAGGATTTTAGGTCCGCTGGAAGATGTGTCCGCGTTAAAAAATCTCAACTGCATTCCTTCTTCTGTAGTAACACTACATTCCCTCACTGTTGTTACACTTCATTCCCTCCACTGTAGTAACACTACATTCCCTCCACTGTAGTAACACTACATTCCCTCCACTGTAGTATCACTACATTTTCTCCACTGTAGTAACACTACATACCCTCCTATACAGTAAAACTACGTTTAGTAACAGGCAACGAGTGTGATAAAGAGAGAGAGGATGTAAGGTCCACTGGAAGTATGTCCGCGTTAAAAAATCTCAACTGCATTCCTTCCACTGTAGTAACATTGCATTCCCTCCACGGTAGGTACACTACATTCCTACACTGTAGTAACACTACATTGCCTCCTCTGTAGTACCACTGCATTTTCTCCACTATAGTAACGTTATATTTTCTCAACTGTAGTAACACTATATTCCCTCCACTGAAGAAACACTTCATTACCTCCACTGTAGTAACATTATATTTTCTCAACTATAGTAACCTTACATTCCCTCCACTGTAGTAACACTACATTTCCTTCACTGTAGTAACATTGCATTCCCTCCACTGTAGTAACACTACATACCCTCTTATACAGTAACACTACATTCCCTCCACTGTAGTAACACTACATACCCTCCACTGTAGTATCATTACATTCCCTACACTGTAGTAACACTACATACCCTCCACTGTAGTATCATTACATTCCCTACACTGTAGTAACAATGCATTCCCTACACTGTAGTAACTGTACATTCCCTCCACTGTAGTAACACTGCATTCCCTCCTCTGTAGTAATAGTAAAGTAGTAATGTAGTACTGTTTAATATAGTGAAGATTTCCTCAGAAGAACTGATCAGTAACCACAGTCTATTGCCACTGATTGTGTCCAACAAGTTAAGCCCTGACCAAATATCTAAATGAAAAACATTCGATGTATTAATGGTCATCGGAGCCCTGTATCAAAACATCCAAGTCAATAAATCACAGATTTGTTAAATAAAAAGGAATTCTTCTATCTCTTGTGTTTAATGGTAAATAAATGGGTATCTAGCAACTGGTCAATTTTGGTCATTACTTATATATAATGTATTTACTTATACAGGTTATCACTAACTGGACAGTCAATGACCACAGGTAAGATAGGCACTCTTTGATCACACCTAGATATGTATTCCAAAGGTCGTGTACATGTTGTCGTTATGATGCTGGACATAGTTTCTTTGAACAAGAGACATATATATCTATCATCGTAGACTTATTTACTCCAATGAAGAGACACGTGATTCCCAGTTCTGTGTGAAGTGGTGCTCCTTTTCATGTTGGACAGCGACCTTCAAACAAATATACATTCTAAATTGTACATGTATCATGGAATTACAATCAAAAGGGAGATAACTCCTAAAACTGCCGTAAATCGTAAATCTTATTGAGAAATAAAATGTACGAGTTTAACGAATTCGAGATTTGCTTTTTACTAAGTATTTATATTGGATAGAAACATTGCCACAGCAGAGAAAAACGCCTTTTTTAAAATGCTGTGGTTAATCAATTTCTAATCGTTGTTCTTTTTCGTAGTGTAATGGTTTACTTTTAGATAGAGTTAACGGTAGATGTTGTAGATCTCTTCCGATCCGAATCCTTGATCAAGTGTTTTCACTTGTTAATCTTCAAAATTTAATTGCCACAGTAATAACAATTTTTTCTGTTCAAATGTATTTTCAAATTCTAGATCTCGCAGTTTCATTTGTTTTAAACCAAATCCAGGGGTGTCTTTATCATACGACTGTGACCAAATCAGATGATTTCTTCGTATATTAACTGTAGTAATGTGTGAAATCATATAGGACATAGAGTCAGACGATGAGAAATAAGCCCATGAGTCCAGGTAAACCACATGGGCTCTCAGTTGGGATTTTACTGGCGCGTCTTTCGAAATAATTGACTATATGCACTCTTATCATAAAATGTGATGTTTTTATTCATAAGGTATTTTTGACCTGAATTGAAACACTCTGATTTTTATAATAATCATTGAAGGTGGTTATTTTTTGTTTGTGGTTTTGAACATGGATATTTATGCTATCACAGATTCCAATTCGAAATATTTCCGACATGTTATGTACTGTATTATTATGGACAAATAGATGTGTAACCTTATGTAGGCTACAAAAATACATATAAGACCATCGCTGCATGGGTCTCCGATTCCAAGTCTGTAAAAATCACTCATCCAAGACTGACCCAATTCTACCAGTACGTGCACGTGCCATATACGACTCAACTAGCGCTAAGGGGACGTAACCCATGGTATCCCGTAGAAATCAATATGGTTGCAAATGAACGAAATAACTTAAAAATCTCATCATAAATCACTTTTTTCGTGAAAATATTGCCACGTATTTTTTTTATTTTAAGCATGAATACCTCACGACAGGTTAGTTTGAATAACTGCATTGAATCTTAGGTGAAACTGTGTATCAGGTATGTAAATGAGTGTATACCAACACAGACGATTTTATGTAACCCCATATAAGAAATGTACAAAAGGGTGGATGGTGGGATTGTCTGTACTGCATAAAGGCTGGCTTCAGACGTTACTCTGTCCTTCTACAAGTTAGACACAGTTGAGCCGAATAATGGATTAAACTGTAAATCCCCACTTATTCCCCTCGTCAGTGATATTAAGGGATTAAAATGATCTGAATTGATCGAAAGACAATGGACTTTTGCCTCTTGTGTTAAACTCCCAATATAAATTCTCTGAGCATATATCATAGGTTTAAAACACAAACAGGGTTTGATTTTCTTTCTTTGAAAGAAACATTGACATTTCTACAATTAATAGGTCTAGAATCAATAACGTAACGTTAGCAAAGTGGTAAGATCTCTGCTCTCAGCTGCAAAGTTCTTTGATCGAATGCTTCTGTCGTGTTTTTATTGAAGGTATTTCTCTCTGTCTCCATCGCTTCCTCCCCCCTCTCTGTCTCTCATTCTTC